CCTCATGTCATCTAGTTCTATCCCTATTAGTAGCTTCAACCAACCACAGAACATATTTGGAGAACATACTGTGTTGGTACTAAACATGTACTAAAAACGTGTTCTTTAAAGCATTTACATTGTATTAGGTATTATAAGTTTCCTAGAGATGATTTAAAGTATATGGGAGGACATATAGAGAGGTTTTATATAACCTCATATTTTGGTATCTGCAGGGGGTCTGGAAACCAATCTTTCTTGGCTATCAAGGGATGGATTTCTTTCCTAAAGTAGTCATTTTTCTGTTGTCAGAGCTTCTTCTATGTCTACCTTTTTCTCAAAAATCAGTTCAAAATGATCCTTATGCCAAAAGAGGCATATTCCTGGGGTGGAATATTCTGATCTGCAGCTCCTACCTTCTGAATCTTGCCTTGTTCTCCTCCTGTCCACCTCTCCTCAGATGGGAAAGGAAACTGTGGGGAATAGTCCCCAGCCTTACATGGGAGAGTGGTGCCATCCGCACAGTACAGACAGACCCAGCCCGACACCTCCTCATGCTCAAGTGTCAGGAAGGGACAAATCCAATGGCTTAGGAGGGATCTGGGCTGCAGTTTATGTTCACAGGAGTCCTGAGAGTAAAGATGTAAAGATGGCACAGCACGTAAAGGAGGGCCAGGGAAAGAGTGCAGGGTGGGAAGGGAGAAAAGCCAGAACAGGGCCCTGAGGGGCTCCAGCAGTTTACGATGGGGAAGGGGAGAAGGTGCCAGCAAGAACGATGGATGAAGAATGGAAAAGTTGAAGGGTTGGGAGACGAGAGAGTGGAGCTCCAGTGAGGGTTGAATGGGTGGCAGGGTCCCAGGATACAGAGCCCACTGGGGAACTTAGCATGATCTGATTCATGCGTATAGGGACAGAAGCCAGTTGGAGTAAGCTGAGAGCAGGGCGGACGAGAAAGTGCAGGCTATGTGTCTGAACAGCTGGGAAAGCCTGGCTGTGCCATTGGTGGAGACAGGTTCTAGTTCTTGCCCCTGGGGAGGGGAAGGGGTAGCATTTTAAGTTATACTTGCTTCCTGATAAAGGCAGAGGCAAATTCATTCACAGACGTATTCTTTTAAAATCATTTTTAATACATACACAAATTAACAAGTTTCACTGTGACTTGACATACATACTACACGGATCACATTCACCCTCCCTTCTACTGTCTTTTGCCCTCCCCTCTCTTCCCCTCCCCCTGACCCCCTTCCCTTCCCTTCCCTAAAAGGCCCTCTTCTACCTTGAGGTCATCTTTGGTTTTGTTTTTTAAGTTTCCACATATGAAAGCATGTGATATTTGTCATTCAGCATCTGGCTTATTTCACTTATTTCTTCCTCTGGTTCCATACCCTTCACTGCAAGTGACATGCTTCCATTTTTCTTTATGGCTGAGTGATATTTCATTGTGTATATATACATTCACCTGTTTTTTTTTTAATCCAGTTACCTGTTGATGGGCTGATTCCATGTCCTAGCTGTTGTGAATAATGCTTGCAATAAACATGGATGTACAGTTGTCTCTTTTGTATGCTGACTTCACTTCCTTACTGTGCATATCCAAAAACGGTATAGATGGATCATAGCGTAATTCTATTTTTCATTTTTTGAGGACCCTTCATATTGTTTTCCATAGTGGCCATATTAATTAATGTCCCTACCAACAGTGTCTAAGGATTTCTTTCTCTCTCTACATCTTTGCCAGCAAAGATATATATATATATATATATATATATATATAATTTTGACTAAGGTGAGGAATGAAATAGAGCCTCAGTGTATTTTTGATTTGCAGTTTCCTGGCTACTGATACAGAGCATTTTCTCATGAATTTATTGGCCATTTGTATTTCTTTTAAGAAGTGTCTGTTTAGATCTTTTGCCCATTTCTGATTGCATTACTTGTTCCTTTGATGTTAAGTTTTTGGAGTTCTTTTATAGATTCTCGATATCCATCTTCTGTCAGATGAATAACTGGCAAAGATTTTCTCCCATTCTGTAGTTGTGTCTTCATTCTGTTGCTTGTTTGCTTCATAGAATCCATTTAATACCTTCATGGATTCTTGCTTTTGTTTCCTTAGCTACTGGAGTACTATTCAGGATATTGTTGCCTCTGCCAATATCTTGAAGTGTTTCCCCCATTTTCTTCAAGTAGTTTCAGAGTTTCAGGTCTTAGATCCATTTTTTGAGTTGATTTTTTTTAATAGGGTGAGAGATAGAGGTTCAGTTTCAATCCTCCACATGTGGATATCCAGTTTTTCCAGCACCATTTAATAAGCTTGTCTTTTCTTTGACTTGTGTTTTGGGGACCTTGGTCAGGAATCAATTGGCTATAGATGCGTGGACTTATTCTGGGTACTCTATTTGGTTCTGTTGGTCTGTGTGCTAATACCATGCCATTTTGGTTACCATAGCTCTGCTGTAGGTTTGAAATCAGATGCTGTGATGGCTATAGGATTGCTCTTTTTGTTCCATGTTGCTGTAGCTATTCAGAGTCTTGTCCTTCCGCATAAACCATAGGATGTTTTTCTCATTCCGTAAAAACATATCATTGGTATTTTGATGGGAATTGCATTGAATCTATAGATTGCTTGGGGTAAAGTGCCATGTTTTTAAAATATTTTTTAATTGTAGGTAGACACAATATCTTTATTTTTATGTGGTGTTGAAGATGGAACCCAGTGCCTCACACTTGAAGGCAAGCGCTCTACCACTGAGCCACAGCCCCAGCCCTGAAAGGCCATTTTAACAATATTAATTCTTCCATTCTATGAACATGGGAGGTCTTTCACCTTATAGTGTCTTCAGTTTCTTATGATTGTCATTATAGATAGAGGTCTTTGCTTTTTTTTTTTTTTTTTTTTTTAAGACTACTGTGAATGGGATTGCTTTCCTGATTACTTTCTCAGCAAATTCATTATTGGTGAGCAGAAAAACTCCTGAATTTTTTTTAATGGTACTGGAGATGGAACCAGGGGGAGACTCTACCACTGAAACACATTCCCATCCCTTTTCTATTTTTTATATTGAGACAGGTTCTAAGTTTCAGAGGCTGACCCTGAAGTTGAATGCTTCTGCCCCAGCTTCCCAAATCCCTGGGATTCTGGATGTGTGCTCCCATGCTGGGCTAGCTAGCTACTGGTTTTTGTAAGTTGACATTGGATATTACTGTTTACTAAATCTACCAATTTTGAGTCTTTTGGTGGAATCTTTAGAGTTTTCTAAGTATAGAATCATAGCAGTAGCAAACAGGGATAATTTGACTTCCTCCTTTCCTATTTATATCCTTTTTATTTCTCTCTTGCTCTGGCTCAAATTTCCAGGACATATTGAGTAAGAGTGCTGAGAGTGGATATCCTTATCTTGTTCTTGATCTTAAGAGAAAAACTGAAAGTTTTAGGACACACATGTTAGAGGAAAGACTATCTACTGAGCTTTTTCTACTACTTCTCAGCACTGAGCTGGGGAAAGAATCTTGAAAAGCACAGGGGACTTGTCTGAGGAGTTCCTTGTCCCATAGTTCTCATTTCCTCTGGGAGGCAGGTAAAGGCCTCTATACTTAGGGATGGACAAAGAGGGCTGGGCTGGGCTCAGAAAGTCGCATGCAAAGGGGAGGGAGCTGCTCAGCCAGAGGAGACCTCTCAAAGAGAGGTAGTATCTGCACAGGGTTTTGTAAAATATCTAGGAAGTCTGTAGGCAAAGAGAAAGAGGGAGAGGGGCAAGACTTCAGCACCTGGGAATCACCATAAATTCTTCAGGTCTGTAGATAGGACCAGCTACACAAAGATGCCTGCTCTGGTAGACCACTTAAGAGAAAGGATGCAGCCCCAGCACACAAAGCCTTCCCCTATTTCTACCCTGCAGATAAAAGTCCCCATATAGGAACAGGTACCCCTGAAGTCATCACATATAGCTTCATAGGATTAAAAAAAAAACTTTCTCTGCACGTTATCTGTGGAAAGAAGGGGGTTAGAAAGAGAGGAGGAATGGGTGTAGGGGAGAAGAACAGAGGAGGAGAACCATAAAAGCCAGAGAGGGTTTGACCGACCCTCAGGAGGATTTACCTGGGCATGTGCTTGGAAGGCCGATCAGTCCTGGAAAGAGAATCCATGAATCATTTATGACTGTTTTCACTCCGTATTCATTAAAGGCCTCTGCACTATTATTATTGAACTTTAATTGGCTTGGCACTCAGCTTGGCCTCTTGCAGCCCTTGCTCCTCCCTTTGCCATCAGAAATTCCTCGAGTGAGCAAGAGAGCGTGAGCAAAGGCTGTGTTGGGAACAGGGCAGCTGGGCCAGCATCACCAGGAAGATCAAATGGAATGCGGTCGCTTTTCTTTCTTCTCTCTGATCATATATTAATAAATGTATCTCATTGGGCTTCCGCTCTGCTCCCCACGAGCCTCTCTAAGCTGCCTGGAATCTCTTAGCCCCCCCTTTGCTTTCTCAGCCACCAGAGAACTTTTCCATCAACTCCCTCCTCTGGTGCATGACAGCGCACATCCTTTGTTCCAAGTGCCACACTGGGCACTGAACCAGCAGCAATGTGTGGGTTACCTGATTTACTTCTTTTAATACACTTCAGTATAATTATAACCGCATAAAAGAGAAGACAAATTGGCAAGTAATTGCAATGTTAATTTGGTAATGTTTTATCATACTGTGGAAACGCAATTTCCTCTCTAATTGTATTGGGGGGAACACGTTCGTCTATGGTAGAGTTTATTGAGGGATTCTTGAGAATGGAAATGAAACACCGGAGACAGGAAAATCAGCTCTCCTCCCCATAAGTATTCCTTTATTTGCATGTGTTTTTGCAGCCTCCTCAAAAAGCTGACTCGTTTATTCAGGCCTAATTAATGGAATGCCACAGACTGCATAATTAGGCCATGACGGCTTTAGCTGATGGATGGCTTTGGATTCGGAAGCTGGAGATACCCCCAGGTAAAAAAAAAAAAAAAAAAGGCACTAAATGCTTTCTTTTTCAGAATCTCACAGGCTGTGCGTGCCTCACCACCATCCCCCCTGAGAATGCGACCGTGGTTCCCGGAAAATGCCCCAGTCCCGGGTGCCAAGAGGCCTTCCTCACCTTCCTCTGTGTGATGTGCGTCTGCAGCATGATTGGTGCCATGGCCCAGACACCCTCAGTCATCATCCTTATCAGGTAAGCTGTGGAAATAGCCCTGAGGATGTGAGAGCTAATGGGCTATCCCCACTCCACCTGGCATGCACCTGGGGTCAGAGGGAGTCACACTTTTGGACTCATGTATATGAGTCTCACAGCCAGATGAGACAGGGCCGCAGCAAGGAATATAGGCCAATAGGAATAATTGCAATCAGTCAATCAATAGGGACCTCAGAGTAAGAAGTGACAGCAGGGCACAATGGAGAAGACCACATGTCTTCCCAGGAAGAGCTTCTGCAGGTGACCCTGAAAAGGAATCTGCATTGATCTGTCCAGAGAGCAGTGTTGGAGTAAATGGAAAATGGTGTTAGACTAAACAAGTCCCTATGTCCAGCCCTGCCATGGATCAGCCATACACCCCTGGGCATGACATCTTCCCCTAGACTGTTTTATAATCTGTTATGGGGTGAGGTGGTCACTGGTCCAGCTTTCCTCCTGCAACAGCGTGTGACCCATCAAGACCATCTGTGTTCAGATGCCATAAAGATGTGAGGGATAATTGTGCCAAGGGGCTCATGACAGGCAAGGAGTCACTTTTCTTGTACAAACAGGGTTTTTGTACCATACTAAGTCATCCAGAATTCTGTCACTCAGGACCCATCCTGGGAGCAGACGAAGTGCTTCAAAGGTGAATCATTCAGCAATTTTCTGAGTGAATTTGTCATTTGAAAAGTCATCTAGCTTTGTGTGTGGAATCTAGAAGTGAACTGACCCAACCCTAGTATCCACCTGAATCAGAGGAAAGGATGCCACTTGAACACTCACCTTTTGGGATGCAGCTATATAAGCAAACCAGTGCCTTCCCAAGAGCTGGAAAGAAAGTAAGAATGAAATACTTGGAAGCATCCTGAGTCGATGTACCTCATCAACTGATTTGCCTGGCTTCTCCATTCATCTTGTGCTGCCTACCACATTTTTTGGTCTTTGTTATGAATTTTCATAGAAGAGGATTTATACAAAGTACTTATGTTACCTAAAAGGTCATTAGCAAGGCCTTAAGACTGCAGAAGCATCAAGGGTACAATAGCAAATTGCCATTTTATACTTCCTAAGCTTGAAAAAAATATATTTTAAAAATTCATACCCAGTGCTTTGCAAGGCTGTGGCCAAACTAGTAAAATCACATATTGCTGGTGACATTGAAAAGCATCAGTCCTTTCAAAAAAATAATATGGCAATGTGAGTTAGAAGCCATAAAAATATTCAGACCCTTTTATGCAGAAACCCTACCCCCATACTTCACCATTTATCTCAAGAAAATACCTCTCTACAAGAAAAAAAGCCTCAATACAGAGACTTTTATTACAACGTTAACTATAATAGCAGAAATACCTGAATTGAAATAGTGAGTTAAATTATGGTACTGCAACTCGACGGAATAATGAAAATTCTTAAGAATGTGAAAAGTGTTTATGAAATGAACCATTGAATTTAAAACTCTATATGGAAGATGATTATATATAATATGCATATGGGCAAAACCCATCAGATCTCATGCATGGGTTTAGGGTGGCTGCCTTATGAGTAGTTTATTTTTCATTAGAAATTCTCATGAAGTTATATCGTGATATTCACACACAAAAGGCACCACAATGCAGAAAAAAATGACCCTTACCACTTCCAGTAGCAGTAGCTGGTCCCTTGTCTCTCCATGACTTCCTGCAAAAACCCAGCCTCTGGTGCTAGGTGGTAGTGACTGCTGATCAAACAGGGAGAGTCTGTTGAAATCTCAATCACTTCCAAATTTCAACTTGATGAACAGCTCATGGAGTTTTGCAGGAAGTATCTGATTCCCTTTAAACAGATCAACAACAGATGGCCTCCAGGACCTGGGCTGGGCCTTGTCCCCTCTCAACTCCATGCTTAGAGGCACATGTCCTGCATGTTAAAAGGCCAAGGTAGTTTTTCATTCCATCACTTTCCCAGTCTAGTTTGCCACTGTAGATGTTCCAGGCAGGCAGTCGGGGCTGCAGTCCAGATGTGCCTTAGCCTTTACCTGGCCCAGAATAAAATGCTTGCTCTTAGGCCATGCAGAAGCATACCCATGAGAACAGTGCTCATAATGTCCCAGAGCAAGGAGAAAGATGACACATACTGGGCCCCTCCTGGGTGCCAACCCTGGACTTTGGTTTTATTGTATTGTTAGCATTCCCCCTTTACAGATAGAAGTACCAGAGTGTGGTTAAGCAGCCATTAAGTTGTGACACTAAGGCTGCATGCCTGGGCTTGCCTGGAACTTTCAATAACAGACTGAACCCTCCATTTCTTTATAGCTAAACGTATGAGAAATGATTTCTTATGGGAACCAGTTTCCCAACAGGATATGAAGAGAGATCTTAGCGCCTTGCTCACTTTGTTCCTAGTGACATGATAGCTAAAAGGAAATCAAATTTCAAGTGATAAATATTCTAGCTCATTATACCATCATGTTTTCTTGATAAGGAGAATTTGCCTTTATTTATGTGTCTTTCAAGTTAAACCTTCAAATGAACCTGCTAAGACTGTAGCCATGGAGCCGATAACATTGAGGAACTTGGATTTTGTAACGTATTTAAAAGAGTAGGCGTTCTGTCCAGAGAGACACTGATCTCCTCATCGACACTGTATGGCTGTCTGCCTTAATCAGCCAGAAATTCATGTCCCACTGCCTTGGGATTACTTACCTATACCATATTCTTTATAATTTAAAAAAGTATGTATTTCCCCAACAATCACACATTTTTAGTTTTCCCTGAACATATTAGAAATGGGGAAAAAGATTATAAAAACCACTTTGTTTTTCCCAGGTTTCTATAACAAAACACTGTGGAGAGTATGATAGTTTATAAACAATAGAAACTTATTTCTCACAGTTATGGAAGACTAGGGAGTTCAAGATCAAGGCACCAGTAGATTAACTGGTAAGGACCTACTTCCTAGTTCACAAGTGACAAATTCTGTGTCCTAACATGGCAAAAGGGACAGGGGATCTCTCTGGGGTATCTATTCTATAAGGGCATTAATCCCATTTATAAAGTTTCCACCCTCAGGACTAATCACCTCTTGAAGACTCCATTATAACCTTGAGGATTACGTTTGAAAGAATGAATTGGGGAAAAACAGTCAGTCTATAGCACATGTGTAGTTTTTCTTGGTTAATAGTCACTTTTGGCCTATCATGCCAAGAACCCAGAGACATGTACACCTGAGGCCCAACCCAAATAGTAGGTCATTAGATGGATGCTATTAGATTGTTGGATGAATGACCCACTCAGTCCATAGGCAAGTTAAACATCCTGTGTACTAGATGTCCTGTTGGTGACTTTGTCCCTAACCTTTATTTTCTACAAAACCAGCTATTAGGCTGTCCTTGCACTGCATGGGTCTTCCATCCACACTGGACAACTCTGCCTAGCCAAATCCTTCAAGAGCCAAAATCATGTGCTTCCCTCTCCATCCCCTATAGAGTCATGATGGTGACCACCAAGCCATAGTAGGGCTAACTGAGGTCATAAGTTGAAGACATCTGCACAGCCATCCACCAACTTACATACTCACCCAGCACATGCCATGTGCTAGACACAGAGCTAGGATGAGGTCACAGTGATGAGCAAGATGCAAATCATCCTTCACTTCATGGGGAGAAGGCATGTACTGAATGAACACAAAAGAGATTGTGTTATTGGTTGTGCAGCTCCATCCATCTAGAATCAGTCATCACTTCCAAAACTCCACTGTCATTCATCTCCTTAAAATATTTTACTGAGAATGTTCTAGAAAATGTGTAAGAAGATTGTTCAAAGGGACTATTCTGGGTAAACCAAAGCCAGAAAGATTGAATCAATTAAAAAAAAAAAAAAAACAGGACGGTGATTATTGGAAGGTCCTTCCCAAGTTAAAAGGTACTGATGTGATATAGATGCATTATTTCTCAAATGAGGGTCCATCTGGGATATCAAAATATTCTAGTCTGATAGAATAACAAAGGTGTTCATGGTCCTAGCTGGTTTGTAAAGCATAAAGAATTATTTTTTCTCCGTTGTTTTCCACATGTGTATCTTGTATCAACTCAAGTTGCTTCTCCCCTCAACAAAGGTTAAATCTCTCTAATGTTAGACTTTATGACCATACATTCAGTCCTTGGAAATGATAAGATTAGCTCATTATTAAAGAAACACTGTTCAGTTCCTAAACTTAGCTGTTGCAGTCATTTTTTAGAATTTAGGCAGGGAATAAAAAAAAGTGATTAATAATTGTCTAAAGAAGGGGTGTGATGGGCAGCAGCAGCAAATGACTGTGGGCTTGGTAATTAAGGAGGAGTGATAAGAACATTTTTCTCCCTCTTCATCTCTTTTTATGTAGGACAGTCAGCCCTGAACTCAAGTCCTACGCCCTAGGAGTTCTTTTTCTCCTCCTCCGTTTGTTGGGTATGTATTCTCTCTCTCTTCCCTCAGTAAGAAATTGGATGCTTATTACCAGGTGAGTAAATATCAGTGAAATTGCCCCATTTCCTGAGTTTTTCCTTAGTTCTATAATGTTTAATTATTAATAAACAAACTGAAATTTTTGCTCCCAGTTTAAACTTAGGCAATCCCTGGGTGTCAGAGTTTCCACGTCTACCAACTTGTCTTTATGCCACCCTGAATTCTAATTGGCATGAGGTGGAAAAGCAATGTCACCAAAGGGGAGAAAGATTTGATGTCACAAATTGGCACCCTCATTAAACAGGTTATGAACAACTTGTGAAATGCTTCGTTCATGGGGCTGCCAGCCAGGGGAGAGAGTAAAGCCCCCCAACACCTAGCATATGGAAACTTTGCATCCTTTAAATGTTCCCCAACTGATTTGGTTTATTTACTTTGGGTTTCTGGCATGAGGCAAATGCAACTGTGGAGCTATAGGGTCTGTGTTCCAAGATTTGGTCTGGATAGAAGAAATATCAAGTCTAGCTCCCTCAATACAAATGAACAAGACAAGAGCTTGTGATTGACCCAGAGAACTATGCACGGCTGGGGGGAGCTAGGCCAATCAGCCTAGTACCCACCTCCCAGCAGTGCCTGCCCTTATCTTGGTAGACCACACTGTTGCTTTATAAACATCCCTTTGTCAAGAACAAGATAGAGGTAATTATTTTTTCCTTGATGATAGGGCAGTAGTCTTTTTAAATGAACTTTAATGGCAACTGAGGGGAGAAGGGGAAATGTACTGAGTAAACGATTGATTCCTCATTCCAACTGTTCAGTCGTGGATTAGCACAAAGACCTAGAGAAATGTGTATAAAAATGTTTGTAACAGAGGAAAGTTGGCAGCAACCTAAATGTCCAACAGCAGGGAATTAATAAAACCAGTTTTGGTTTATAATCCCAGTGGGATTCATGTTCCCCTTTAAGATTTGGAAAAGAAAACTATATATAGACTTAGAAAGGGCACATGATATATGGAAGGGATAAAGAGAGGTCTATGATGCACACTCTACAAAGTATGAGACATCAAAACAGTATCTTCTGGATAATAAGATTATATATATTTTCTAAATTTGTCTTAAATTTTTGAATATATATTGCTTTTATAATGAGACTAACTCCTATATGATATTTGGGAGAAGAAAAAAATCATTCTTAAATCTATTAAAAATATAAAGTCCTCCCTGGTCAATGCCAAATACACAGCATATGGACCTCCTCTCTTCCCTTTGTTGTCTGTAGAAAATAACCAGTGTCGTCATCATTGCTGGCATGCCTGGGACAAGGCCTCAGACTCCTCCACCATTGTCAAATGTCATCTTTGTCTTATTTCTTTTGCATGGAGAATAGAAATCTTATAGATATGAAGATACCCCAGATAAAGTTCAGCACTAATTCAGACCAAAACATTTGGGCCTTTTCTGGGAAGTTCAAGTAGCTTGCAAAACTCTACCATGACACAAAGCTCTACTGATTTTCTTTTTTATTTACCTATCTAGCCACAAGAGTGGGTGATAGATATATAATACCAGCAGGTTAGAGACCCTCACTTCTGAAAATGGTGAAACCATTCCACAGACATTCAACAACAAACTAACATTTATTGAGCACACGCTGTATTCTAAGGTCCTGGATCATCCCTAGGTAAATGATCATAGCCTTGCCCTTAAGAGTCCTCTCTCCCAGGCTGGTAGGAAAAAGGGGAACCTACCCTGTGTGTAGATGCTAAGGACTCAACATATCTTTCAGAATAATTTTGATAACACAAAATGAAAAGAAAATGCATGAAAGTTAATGAAAATCATAGGACAAGTGAAGACAAAACTCAATGATTAGGTATGTACAATGTGGTACTGTTAAGACCATCCTGTGCTGCTCTAAAGCAATCTCACCATTGTGTATCTGCTCCAGGAATAATCAACTAGGCATTTCCTAGAAGGTTTTTCAACTTCTGCAACCATAATCCCAAGATTAGTTTTGCATTACGGCCCAGTACGCATATGCATAGATGCAGCTGAAACAAAAATTACATCAAAAAATACCTTCAATATGTAAGACACATTCTGATATTTTCTATTCTAGTTCACACTTTTAAAATGTTGGTCATGACCCACTATATTGATTTTATTGTTCATTATGGGTCACAAATCAGTTTGGAAAACCCTGCTTCAAAAGGATATGACACAGTTTCATCTTTAATTAAAAGTGGCTTAGCCAAGAAGTCTTGGCATTTGGCCTAATTTCATTTCTTGTAGCACCCAATAAGATTAACCACCATTATTATTAATGAAAGGCCAATGGAATAAATCAGATTCCATGCCATTGCCAACCTTTATGCTGGCCCCTCATGGGTAATGGGGATACAGTGGGGACATCACAGTCAGAAGTAACATGATCCATAATGGAGTTGGCACTGACACGACAGGCACACATGGAAAGGCCACATAACTTTGCCTTGGGATGCAGGCAATGGGTTTGGAAAGGATGTGATGTCCACCCTAAAAGTTATGCAAATGAGCTGGTAGTGGGGAGAGGATGCTTTCAATGAAGGCCCTGGGGGTGAGCAAGGATATGGCATGTTTGGAGGCTGAAGAAAGCCCAGTGTTGGGGGCAGAGATTAGAGATGGTGGTGACTTAAAATTGATGAGAAAGGCCAAGTGGAGACTAAGTAATCAGGTGCTGGTGTAATAGACTAGCTGAGGGAGGCTTGTGGGGAAAGGTGGGTGGCATTGAGAAATATTAATGAGGCTTATTCTCTGAACAGAAGTACAGATGACCCTCCATATCTGCAAGTTCCATGTTCAGTCACTGTAAGCTTTTTAAAGAAATTGAATCTGTACTAAACATGTGCATACAGATCGTTTTCCCCTAAGCAATACAGAACAACAACTATTGGCATAGCATTTACATTGTGTCAGGTATTATAGGTAATCCAGAGATAATTTACAGTATGCAGGAGGATGTATACAGGCTTTATTTAAATACTAGGCCATTTATATAAGGGGCTTGAGAATCTACAGATTTTGCTATCCATGGGGGCTTTGGAACCAATCTCCCTTGAATTCCAAATGTAAGAACCGAGTATGTGGGAGAGAGGCACCCACAGTGACAAGTCCTAAGAAATGGCTTAGATTATGCTGTGAATGGGGATTTATTGAGACAGAAAGATGAGGAGCAATTTGGGAGTGACCAGCACTGTCTAATATAACTTTCTAGCCACATGTGGCTATTGAGTGCCTGAAGAATGGCTTCTGTGAGCCAGATGTAGGGATTTTTATGTATTTTTCATTTAAGTAACCACATGTGTCCAGTGGCTATCATGTGTACAGGTACTGACATACCACCCTCAGTGGGTCAGGGTGGAAGAGGGGTCAGCAATGCCAGACACTTGGCCGTGGTTATCATAATGAAAGAGGACAGAACCTAGAAGTGAAGGTGACATTGGTTTCCCCTTGGAAATGAGTTGATAGAAAGGGCAGAAACTATAGTAGCATCGGTAGGTGTGCACTAAGAATTTCCCCAGTAGCCCTGAAGTAGAGGTGATATCAACGGAGCAAAGAAATCAAACATGATAATCAAACTGAGGCTGAAGTGACTGACCATGATACTGGGCTGATTAAGGAAGAGGTAAAGACAGGTAGAAGTAGGAAGGACAAAGAAAGAAATGAACTGCATTAGCCAGTCATAGTGAATAATGGAAGCTGTGGCCAAATCTTTGATGTCTGGCTTTGAGATTAAAAAGGTAGAGCAGTTCTGAGAGATGCCAAAGCCCAGGGCATGGCGATCCAAAGAGGAACAGGGGTAAATAGCCTTGATGTCAAGGGCAAGTTGTTAAAGTCCAAAATGTAGAATTCCATGTGCTTGGACAAGCTTGGTGTAGGGGAGGAGGCCACTGAGCTGGAGAAATTACAGTAAATTCAGAAAAAAACAACAACAACACAATAATCCACTCAGCAGAATCCTGCAGTAGTTGTGGTCCTCCTTTACCATCCTGTTGCAAACGGCCTGGTCCCTGCTTTGAGGGTTGTGGTCCAGCCATTTGCTCAGCGGTCTGCTTAAGAATCTTGTTCTTGGCGCTGGGGATGTAGCTCAGAGTGCTTGCCTGCATTTATCCCCAGCACTGGGAATGGGGGGCAGGGGGGACTTGCTCCTTGTCATGGCTGTCACATCAAGTCAATTTAATGGAAACATTCACTAAGATCCATCCATATCCAAGGTGCTACCAGGGTAGTGAAAATAAGCAGGAGCAACATCCTTCCGTGAGGGCCTCAGGTAGGCCAATGAAGTAGGGATAGGGAAGACATAAGGTTGGAAAAGTTAGAGAACCCCAAGTTTCAAAGGAAAAGATTTTACTCAGCCAAGTAGTTACCAGGGTGGCACAAAGGAGGGTCTCTGATGGAAGACTGGATATGCACTTGGAATTCTGATTTAGGGACATGAGCCTGAGAATAAGTGGTTTGGCAGGATCCAGGACAACTAATCAGAAGCACTGAGGTAAGAAGATGCTGATCAAGGCTAGAGCAGGGGGATGGAAAGACAGAGACCAGTGAGAGCCATAGAGTGAGACAGCAGCTCTTGAACCTCCTCCCTCTGCCCCCATAAGATCTTAGCAAAAAAGCTGCTGCAGAGGCTCAGATGAAGCTGAGGTTTTGAGCCCTGTGAGTGGGTCTATGGGGAAGTCTTTAATAGACCGAGATAACAGATGCAGTTAATCAAGCCTCTCCAGGGTTTTGAGAGGAACTGGCGGGGCTCACCACACAGCCCCTATCCGCCAATGCCTGCAAACAGCACTGGGAAGGTCACCCATGAGGTGCAACTCCATATGAAGGGATCATTCCTGAGCAGATTGTCCAGGGGTTTTGTCCACATTCACGAATTACCCTGGGGAAGTGTGTCTTGGAAACTCCTGCCGTCACGCAAACCTTTGTTGAGCTCCTACGTGAAAAAAGTGGAGAACTGAGCAC